GACCATGGTACACATGTCAGGGACAGAAGACAAGGGTCATGTTCTGGCCCAGGGTTCTTTGGTCCAATTTCTTAGCTCATGATCTGTCCCTGCCTCTGCCTAGAATGTCTCTTTCTCATTTTCTTCAATTTTCTGACTTTTATTCATTATCCACAAATTTAGTTTAAGCATCGCCCCTTTTAGGAAACTTTCATTGAACGCCTGTCCCATTTAGAAAGGAACCTCGATGCTCACAGTGTACCTGTGCAGAGCTCTGCCATTGACCTGACTACATTGCGCCATCACTTTGCTTTTGGTTGTCTCCCCATACGTGTATTTCAGATTATAAATTCCATTAAGATAAGGATATTGCCTACTTCTTTTTCCCTTTTTCCTAAGAAATTTTTGCTTTTGTTCAGGCTTCTGTCTCCCCTGCATTCAGTCCACATATCTCAAGGGAGGTCACCTCTTTCCCATCTCAAGAAATGGATCTGATTGTTTAAGCCGGTGGTTCTGAACCACAGGTGAGTTGTCTGGACACACATTTGGTTGTCACAACTGGGATTTACTACTGATATGTAATTGGTAGAGGCCATAGATGCTGCTAAACATGCTACAATGAACACGGACAGCCCCCTTCCTCCTCCACATTCTTCCCACCCCATCCCTTAGTCCCATCCAAGAATGATTCTTCCAGCCCCAAACATCTATAGTGCTGAGGTTGAGGCTGGTTTAAGTTAGTGTTTCCGTGACTTTGCTTCCTGACTGTTTATGGTCTGGGCACGAACATATGCCCTAAGTAATTAATCAGATTGAAGTGAAGGATGCTATTTCATGATTGGGGGAAAGATTAAAGAGATGGATAATAAAGCTAGAGGGTTAAATTTTGGTCACTTTGTGGTGAGTTCTGGGTGGAAGGCTAAGTATGATCTTTATCCTGCAATGGAGCAGCAGGTACTATTATTAGAAAGGTGTTTGGGAGAGTGGGTATCCCATACAACCTCAGAGTGGATGGGAGGGGGCAGAGCATGATAGCCTGGAGCACTGTGAGGTAGTAAATGCTACAGTTCCTGAGTGAGGTGACATGGTGTGAATTCCTTTATGCCTCTAGCAGTTAGCACAGTCTCCTACAGGTAGAAAGACTGGAGTATGTTTATTGGGTAGTTGGATTGTAACTGTTTTCTGGAACACAGTTGTAAATAGACTGTGATTCTGACCCAGGAGGTCATGGTTTGATTCGTGGTCAGGGTACATGCCCAGGTTGCAGGATTGATCCCCAGAAGGGAGTGTGCAGGAGGCAGTGGATAGATGATTCTCTCTCATCACTGATGTTTCTATCTCCCCTTCTTCCATCCTCTCTCTGAAATCAATAAAAACATTTTTAAAAATCCATGTCATCTAAATGTTTTTGGTTACAATGAAGAAGTATCAACATATAATAAATCCAAAATTTCCATTTTGAAAGGACATTTTAGGTTAGGTAACTTTTACATAAACACTGAAGTTCGTGTGTGTGTGTGTGTGTGTGTGTGTGTGTGTATTTTATTGAAGAAGCAACTTTTGACTATAACCTCTTGGGATCGATTTTTGGTCCATGTGGCAATGCCCTTGTGGGTTTCTTTTCAAGCCCAACTGAGACAAATGACAAAGATCTCAATATTGAGGTGCCCCTGACCCCTTGCTAGGACCTCAGACTTGCAGAAGCAGCTCAAGGCGTCTGCCCTCTTCCACCACCCTACTCACCATCCAGACCTTCCTTCATCATTTTCCTGCAGGTGAACTCTGGCCCCCAGAAGAAATTAGGGAACTTTAAGTTTTATGTCTTCCCTTTGTTCTCAGCAATGGCTTGTGTGGAGGGGGGGTTGGGGGGGGGAGGAAGAGGGGTGACTGTTGTTTTAGATTAATTCAGGGAAGCTCCTAGTGGACCCCTTAAACATAATACCCACTGGCAGACTAGTACACATTTGCTACTGCAGTGGCTTTTGTAGTGTGAATGGAGACAGTCTTAGAGAATTTACTCTTTACTAAAGAGTGTAAAATATTGCTTTTTAAAGATATGCTATTTCTGTGCCCCCCCCAAAATACTAAAATCTAAAAAGAAGATATTTTATAAACATGTTTTTGTAAATTCTCTTCCCCTGCCCCTTTTCTTTTGACTGTTACAATAGAAAACATTGCTTTTAGTGATTAGATGTAAAATGTGGATGTCAAATTTAGAAGACAGTATGATCCTTTATATATGTTTTTTTACTGGCAAAGCGATTTAATTAGAAAATAATCTTCCTCTCTAACATCCAATACTATAAAATATCCCGTTTTGTTGGCAGTTTATATCAAAATTTTGAACTATCACGTGACCATGAAAGAAAGATGTTTTAAATAAGAAAGATGACTTTTTTTTTTTTAAATCTTCGATTTTAAAAAAGTACTTTCTCAGTGGGGTAGGGAATGGAGAACATGCTAAATCGTTCAGGGAAGAAAGAATCACAGGGGAAGTGTGTTGGGCTGATCACACCCATCTCAGCTCTTGCAGCCTGTGCACGAGCGCGCCCAGTGTGTGTGCCAGTGTGTGTGCCCCCGTGTGCGCGCGCAGCCTGGGGCCCCTGGGCCGGGCGTGGGGCAGCCGGGCTTCCCCGCAGGCGGGCGGGGGGAGGGAGGGAGGGGGCGTCCCGGTGGGGACCCCCGGGGCTCTGTGTGTCTGCGTGCACCATCGGCACCATTTCCTGCCCCGCTCGGGACGGGCTCGCCCCGGGGCGGCGGCCGGCGCCGTCCCCTTTCCCTCAGATGCCCTCGGCCGCGGGTTTATGATTACAGCGCCGGCCGCGCCCCCCCGCCGCCCTGGCAGCTCGCCGCGCCGTGCAGCGCCCTGGCCGCCTTCTCGCCTGGCGCGCCCCCAAACCGCCTCCTCCACCTCCTCCGCCTCCTTATTTGTCTGAAAAGCCACCGCACGTCCAGGCTGAGGAGCCCGCGGGGGGCGGGGAGGCCGGGCTGCCGGGTGGGTGTGCGCCCTGCTGGGGGCGGGGCGGGCGCGGGAGGCCCCTTTGTCCCCGGGCCGCCGGGCGCAGTGGAGGGCGGGCCGGGCGCATGGGGCGCGCGGGGCCCGGGGCGCGGGGTGCGGGCCGGGTGCGCGCACGTTGGCCGCCCGCCGACGGGGCCCCAGCGGCCGATTCCTGCCGAGTAAGCAGTCTGCTCCGCCGCCGCCGCGGCAGCACCGCGGCTGCGAGGCTGGGGCGCTGGCGCCGCGCCAGCCCCATCAGAATTAGCTCATTGTTCACGAGCCCGGGAGAGCGAGAGAGACTCTTAGACAGAGACACACACTCTCTGGAAGGCAGAGCACGAGGCAGGGAGACCTTCCCCTCCTTCTCTTTGTCCAGGGCTGCACTTCTTGGGAGTGGAGCAGGGTTTGGGTTTTGTTTCCCCTGCCCCCCTCCTCCCTGCTTTTCCTCCCGCCCTTCCCTTCCCCTCCTCTTCCCTCCCCTCCCCTCCCCCTGCCCTTCTCTCCCCTCCCCTCCCCTCCCCCAGCTGTCTTTCTAGCATGATGCCCTTTTTCATCCACATTTGTGTTTCAGGTGTAGAGAGGAGAGCGTGCACAGGGAGCGGGGCTTTTGTCTGTAAGTATCTGCCATTCCCTTCGCCGGCCGGGAGCGCTGCTTTCTCTTTTGTGTCCATTGCTTGCCTTTTAGACACTTAGCCCGGACCCTTCAACCCTGCAGAGTTCATGCTTCTTCTTCCCTCTACATTTTTAGAGCTGCTGAAGCATGTACCTTGCAGAAATTCTGGTATTTTTTTAATTTTATTTTTGGACCTGCTGCATGAAGGCTGAAATTTACATTGGGCTTTAAAAAAAAAAAAAAGCACAAGAGAGAATTCTTTGGGGAAGGGGCGGGCTTTGTTTGTTTTAACGTTTTAATCTTTTGCTTGTTTGGTGCGGTTAATTTTTGTTCCTCTCGCTCATAAAGCTCAGAGTGGATGGTTGGGAACTGTTTTTTTGTTTCTTTGCATCGAATGCACTTTGCGGCATGCGCCCCCGCCCCCTTTTATTCCATGAATTTGTGTCTTCCATCTTTACACTTTATCACTCTTCCAGCGCTGCTGTTGCCACCAAGGGTCTTTGGAGGCATTCAGTCTTCCAGCACCCTTTCCCTGCATTTTCTTTTAAAGCAGTTGAACTTTGGGGGGAAGAAGGGGCGGCTTAAGAATAGATCACTGCATTTTGGTTGATAATGATAATAATCTGGATTTGCACTTATATGTAGATATGGTAACATAGGAGAACTCTGAGAGCTTATGATATCCTTTTGGAGAACTTTTAGTTTCTCCATTCATCTTAATTTTCGTCCTAACTTACGTTAACAAAAGAATTGCATTGTGATGACCTAGAGGCTGAGAGAAAATCACTGCAGTCTGTGCATTAATGTTGATTTGTTTAGGGAGAAGGGCATGAGGTGTATATTCCTGACTTTTTTCCCCCCCAATGTAGTTTTTTTCCCCCCCTAACCACGGAAGGTTATGTAATACAGTGCCATTTCCAAAAATATCCACTCTAAGGCATTACACTACACGGTGGAAAGCTAATTCCTATTCTGCTGTCTTGATTGCAAATATACCGCCAGTAGTATGTCTGGGAACAAAGAGCAGCCAGAAAACAATCTATTTTTATCACTTGGTTCTACTTTTAAGTTCTAAACCTTTTGAACTGCAGTTTAAAAATGAACCAAACACTAAGAATAGCCCAGGGTTTTCTGCAAAGCCAGGTACCAAGGATTCCTTTGTCCCCTCTTTCAGCCTATAGACAGCGGGGAAAGCTCTCTCCGAAGCCCCCCGCATACCCCCGCAGTAACAGTAATTTGCATGTAACTTATCTTAACCACAGAAAGAGGTTATTTGTCTGTGACCTCTAAACACGCATTCTTCATTTGCTGACCTGTGGTGAGGCGATTTGTCTACTGTGTTTGAACATATTTTGCAGGTTGGTGGTCTCCCTGGACTGAAGAGAGGGAGGGTGGAGGTCCAAGGCTGCTATGATTCTCAAAATGGTAAGAACTGGTCATCCAAGGAGATTCTCAGTCTCATTCCTGTCTTTATTCCATATAAATGTCAGCCACCCACCGTCACCCCGCCCCAGCCCTTCATTGTTCCTACCCCATCTGACCTTTACAAGCTTCTATCTCCAGCATGTGGGAGCTTTGCAGCGCAGTAATTTATATGAATTGGATGTGCTGAATTAGGTCTTTTGATTTTCAGTCATAGAAAACTGAAATCCCTTTTTCAGAAGTGAAGACTTATTTAACTTGAACCAACAGAAACCGTTCTGTTCTTTAAGGAGAGTGATGTGTTGTGACATGTAAGGAAAGGCTGACAGCAGCAGAGCTCACACAAAGCAGTGGGTCCTATGTTAGAGACAGCCAGGACATATCCAACAAGTAGGCGTCTGTGTCCAGCTAATCAAATTGCTATAGTGTCTGCTGTCCTTATGAGCAATATACATGAAGAACATGGACTTTTGTATTCATGCACTCTGTCTACTGCATCTCAAATATAATTAGCATTGTTTCTTTGTTGACTTATGAGAGAGACATGCTCAGTTTGAGAAGCCAAGCATGTTCCTCCCCTAAATGAAAGGGAAACTGCATTTAACAAGCATTATGATCTGCAGGGAAGGCAGTTGAGTGTTTGATGGCTGATTAAAGAATTAGATGAAATACACATTAAATAAGTATGTTTATCTTCTATGAAAATTTTCCTCTTTGGGAAAAAGTTGAATTGAAAAAAAAAAAAAAGAAATATCATGAAACTTTTCAGATAAGTATAGCGTGTCCTCCTGCAGATGTTTTCCTCTTTAAATCACCCCTTTGCCACTTAGAATGTGTGATTTCCAAATTTAGTTTTAGTTTTTCCTTTTAAACGAGGGCGGAATTTAATGAATCAAAATTGAATCTGATATACTTGATGTTTTCTTTGAGCACAACCCAAGTATAAGCTTCCAAGGAGAAAAATGAATCAGAAGCAATTAAATGAGTTCAGTTTCAATTCTATTATCAAGTAGGCTCTTTATTTTTTTGTGTATGCCTCACCAGTCATTTCAACAGGTGGATTTTGAAAGCACCAAATAAAATAGTTCTTGCTTGGACTTTAATAATAATCAAATTAAGGAGATTCGAGGTAGAGGGACAAAGGGGTGTGAGCAGATAATTAAACGTTTAAGGTTTTTTTGTGTCGATGGTTCCTAACTTCATATTACATTCCTAATTAGCCATTGTCCCAGAGAACCAGGATGGTAATAAAATAAACTGCTGCAAAGTTTTTTTTGTTTATTTAATTATCTTTTACCGGGACTTGCTACATCACCTTATCCCAGAACCTTACTTTCTGTGTCACCATAGATGGTTGTATTATGTCAGGTGACCCATTTGGTTAAACATAAATTCAACTGCTGACCCTGCCAAAAAAAAAAACCCCTATAGATCAAGCTCAAGACATATCATGTTTCTGTAACCATGAGTGGAGTGAGCTTTGTGGGAAGCAAGCATGTGAGCCAAAGCTGAGAATGAAAGTTGGAATGATTTGAATGCAGAAGAGCAAATTCAAATTTTTATTACATGTTGTTAATTTCTTACAGTTGTCATTTATGTATGGTGGCCGAATGAGAAATCACAGTTTGTTGCTCTTGGAAGGATTTTCACTCATGGAAAAATTCTTACAACTTTTTGGTGATCCTTTCATCAAGATGTCAGTTCCTTTTGGCACAAACCATTGCCTGAAATGAAACCACCGACAGTTATTGTCTGTGGGTGATTCCAAGTAACTTTCTAGCAATTCTCTCATCTGGGAGGTCAGAGCTCTTAAAAATCTCTGTACATATTAATGCAAAAAATTTTTTTCAATTTTGTTTCTAAAAAAAACTGATATTAGACGTGTTTTGTACTACTTTCTCAGTTTTTTGGCAAAATGAAGTCATTCTTTCCTTGATTAAAACTGAAATTACTTTGCTGATCTCTAATTAGCTTACTTAAAGACTTAGCCCACATGCAATAGAAACTACTGCTAGGGAAGCAGATTTAACACCTGGCTACCTCTAGAAAATATAAAATGCCCTTTCTGTTAAACATGTTATTTATTTGCATAATTTAAAACACTATAGAGGATCTAAAGCCAGTATATTTACCCCATTTAGTAAAGGCTTATTCCAAATACAGATTTTTAATTGGCTCATTTCCCTAAAAGAATTCCAGAATTCAAAGATAGCTAGACATTTTACATACCCTAAAATGATGCTTCACAGTAATTTGAAAATTCACTCATGAATCCTAGAGTGAGTGCCTATTGCATTATCAAAAAGTACAACCACTTTGCTAGCTGTAAGAAGCACCAATCACATTGTATGCTGTGCATGGGACCCTCTAAGCACAACTCCAGGAGGTGCCACTTAAATAGGTTACATTGCACCTGGGATTGTGCCACTCAGGAGTGTTGTTTTGTATGGGTCCGTGGTATTTACTTGTGTTTTATTTTAAAGTTACCTGCTTTTGATCCATCAGTGAGAAGAAAATACTTCAGGATGCACAGATGGTTTTATTGAATAGTTTGAAAAATGTCAAGGTTAAGTTCTGATTTTCAACATGCCTACGCTCTGCAGGAAACTGAGTCTGTGTGTGCCATGGACTCACAGTGGCATAAAGCATGGGCTCATTCTGTTTTAACAGAGACTTAGGAATTGGAACAATTTAAGTTCTCTTTAAGGCTGTTGCTGAGCTTTTGGAAGAGATGAGTTGACTCCATTGTATGGTTCATACAGCTCTGCTTTCTGTGGTCTGTGAAGTGGCATTCATGGGTTTACAAGGAGACTCTTTGAATAATCTCTCCACTAACATACGGTTTTCCTGTTTAAAGAAAAAGACAACGATTGAGGAGGGATGTGGTTCTATTTGTAGCTTTGCCAGTGTGGGGATGCTGAAGAGTTCCTGGGAGGGTAATTGTATATGGTATTATCTTCTCTTTTTCCAGGCCTTTTAGCACACTGTAAGGGGGAGGGAGAATTGGGAATTGTTTGGGGAATTAGGACAGCAGGGATGGTCTATCTGGACTTAACTTCAGTCCAGCTTCCTTTTGAGCTACATAGATAATTCAGGCAGGAGAGGGTGTATGTTAGCAGAAATCTTTGAATACAAACAGCTATTCAGAGTATCACTCTATTTTAACCCAATACAGTTCTTAAAGACTTGTATGTAAATCAGATCATCATAAAAACACTGAAGGAATTCACTTTATTTTAAATCCTAAGATGAATACTTTTAAAATAGGGAAAATAGACTTCTAAAATATGAATATGAGTAACCTCCATATGTCTAGTTTAATACATTAAATATTCATCTACATTGGACTGGCTAAAGATTAGTCTTAGAGTGAAAAAGTGTAACTTCCTTGTTTTTGTACATATTTTACTTAGTGCTGTTTCTGGCTGGAAAGTCTTTTAAGGCCTTATCCTCACAGGGAAAGTGAAATGGAGGATTGAGATAATTATCTGAATAATTATGCTTTTTTTAAAAAGCCCCACTTGATTTTTATCTTATTCATTTTGGTTACTTAAAATCTTGCAGAAGTAATATAGGAGTGGGAAAGATTTGCCTGAATTATTTGAATAATTCTTTTGTTATACAGGAAGAGACTAGAAGGAAGAAATTTTATCAGCAAATCCAATTAGAATATACCAGAGGAAAATGTATTGAATGCTCTTAGACTTGTCATCTTGGTTGATCAAGATATATTAAAATATTCCAATTTTAAACTTCTCCTTTGCTTTGAACTGGAAGGCAGGTTAACCATAAATCTCAGCACATGTCTGTAGAAATTATGGCTGTTGAAAATATGATTTATTGAGTCTAAATTTATATGAAATGGGTATTTCTAGACATATTTTGCACTTAGGGGTAGTTTCAAGAATATCTCATCTCAGTGGTTTCAAAAATAGCAGTGATTTTGAAATTGATCTTCTAATGCATGGCAAATGTTAGCAGCTCTAATGATTTAGGATTTAAGCATTAACAAGGATTTAGGCTTGCAAACTAAATTCTAAATATCAACTCAGTTATTAGTAGCAGTGACTTGGTATTAACCAGAGTATAATATTAGATTATACCTCCTTGCATTATTTGTTGGTTGGGTCATATGCAATTCTTTCATTGACCACCTAAATTATAGGCATCAAGAGGGGTTATAAGTTTCATGTACAATGCTTAATAAAGTATTAAATATATGTTAGAAGATCAACATCTATTTGATCTATGCATGCTAACATTTATTAAGTTGAATATATTTATCGTTAATGACTTAATCATGTTTAGAAGTCATGTGTATCTCTACCTTCTAAAAATCTAGGAAGTTGATGTAAATTTATTGTAGTTTTCACAACAAGTTATTATCCATAATTTATTAACAGGAGTAGGAAAAAATTGTGGTTAAGCCATAAAAGCACTTGCCAAAAAAGAGTGGCTTGCAATTGCTCACCCTTACCAGCTTTTAATGCCACTCTGAGCAACCTGGTGAGATGCTAGCTCTCTAGGTTTGATCCAGCTGCAGCGCTCAAAGCTCACAGCAACTTTTCCTGTAGCACAAGGACCCCAGTACTGGAAATGTAAAGTCCTCACGTACTAGTATTTCCAATATATTCTGATTCTGTGGTGTTTTGAAGATGATATCAAGGACACAAAGATGCCGTGTCTGAAAGCCCTGAAGAGACAAGAAGAGTTGGCAATAAGGTTATGCATGTGATCCCATGCCAAGTGAACAAGGTGTGTTTTTTGTTTGTTTTTTTCTTTTAAGCATTTTATTTACGCTTAGGTCTTTGTATTATAGAGAGCACACATTTGCTCTGTGCCCTCAGTAGGTTTTCATATTAGATGTGGAAGGAAGACAAACAGACATGAAAAACTTAACAGTGTAATATAGTATAACCTAGAAGAGTACTTGAGGACTGGGGAGTGGAGATTATAGAGCTTTTTTTTTTTAAAGACATAGAAATTAAGTAAGACCTAGAGAT